GAGAGAGGAACCAGCACAAGGCTCCCTCTCCTCCCCATGCCCAGTGAAAGCTCAGCCTCTGCTCGTTCCCAGCACAGCAGCTCTTGGAGATGCCATCCCGCGCACAGTGACACAATCCCACGCTTGCCTAACAACTCCTGCCTCCTCCTCAGAGCTTCCACACGCTGCCCCCGCTCGAGTGCCAATCGTGGCTTCCACCTCCCACTCCAGCTCCCAGTGAGACTCCCGCAAACCTATCTCATGGACACCTGATTTTCTGTCATGGGAAYATTTAGGGATTTGTAATCCAGCAGATTTTGGTCCAGGTGTGCTGGCACAGCCCCCGAGCAGGGATGCACCAAGGAAATACCACCAGTGACAGAAATCCAATACTTAAGCAGRTGGCAGAGTCACTCTCTCCCAGCTCTCCTGACCCTCACTCCCACTTCATTGCCTGCCTCCGTTATGAAACGGTGGCAAAACCCKAAAATAGCCAGGATTTAAGGAAGGCTCCAAAATCCTGTTCTGACCAAGCAATCTTTCCTGTTATCTCTGGCAGAAGGATCACACCTGCCTATTTCATGCAGTTCTTGCAGAGGCTTTTCCTTTAATAGGATATGGTGCCTTTATCAGGCATTTTTGGGGGTGAAATCCCGCCCAGATTCTCAGCTGTCAGATGTGACTCAGCCGCTGGGGTAAAATAAGTTGGGTGATCTCAATTCAGTTTACAGCAGGCAGATGTCTAGAGCTTAAAATTAGCCATCATGTTTGCCCCTGGACATACAATACCCTCCCCTCCCTTCTTATAGGACTTGGAAGAGAAACAAAACACTCCTTATGCCAGAAAGATACACAGGGTGCACTTTAGAGATCCATCCTCAGGTGATGTTTGACACTGAGGGAGGATTTAGAGATACAGGAATATATATTTATAACTTCCTCGTGCAGAGCCGCAGAGGGGCACACGCTGAGCTCTTTGGTGAGAGTTGAGCTGGGTAAGGGAGGGTTTGGTTGGATATTAGGAAAAGGTTCTTCCCCCAGAGGCTCCCCAGGGCAGTGTCACACACACTCGTGTGCCTGGATGGGCAGTGCTGACCATTGAGGGCAGAGTGGAGCAGTTTCCCGGCACATCAGCTCCCCSCAACGCGCTCCCGGCGGCACAGACACCACAGCAGCGACTCAATGCAGCCCCCAACCTGTGAAAACCGAGTCTGGACACGCAAATATCTGCACAAATGGGTGAAAGACTCACTCATGAAAACCTAACAAAGGGCTGCCTCGAGCCTCTCCAAGAGCAGAACTGAATCTGAAACCAGAAAGTGCTCAAATCCCCAGAACATTCCCCATACCCAAGGGTGAACTTGTGGAAGACCAAAGGAGCCACAAGAACCAAAAAATGCYACAAGAAATCCAAGAATTGACCCAAACCTTCCCTGCAGCCACGAGCGAGAACAGCAGCCGAGCCTCAACTTTAATTGTGCCGTTATGTAATTCCCGGAGCTCGGAATTAACCTAATTCCCAGCAATGGCCCCATCACGCCTGSCAGGGCCACAGCATAACTTTAGTGAAAACCCATGGAAAGGTCTAGAATCAGCTTGAGACTGCTTTTTTGAAGGAAACAACTCCTTTTGAATGAAGAAAGCCAGTCAGCTTAAGAATTGCATGRGRAAATAACTGCATCTACATTAYGATTCACCTCAAAAAAMCASATYTCATGTTAAGGAAATAGGCTGAAAMTGCAGGTATGGATCACCTYTCCCTACTGGATAAAGCAMCTGCCTAAGTTAGATATTCAAATACTCTGCAGATGCACGGGGAAGCAAACAACTACACGAGTACCTTCTGCTGCTTCTGGCATGATCACAAGATCATAATTCCAGATGAGCAAAATGGCCTGGTTTATCACCTGCAAACCCAAGTGCCCATTTACAGGCAGACCAGGAATTGCAGAGCCTTCTCCAGGTTATCCCAGAATGACYTGGTGCCCCTCAGATGATTTGCCCCGTCCAGCTGCCCCAAAAGCTGGCGAGAAACGATGTCTATTGTGGAGGAGCCTCATTTCAWGCACTGGAAAAGAATCTCRGTGCTCACCAACATCTGACAACCTYCAGGCAACAYCTGATCAGTGACCCACAGCCTTGGCCAGGTCCAGAACCTCTGGGACTCAATACAGGCAGCTCTGTGCTCATCATTTTGCTGCAGGAAATGACGATGCCCCACAGAGGCATCAACACATCCCAAATCCRCAGCACAGGCTCTGCAATCTCCTAACAGTATTTTCCCAACTGCTGGAGGTATTTCTTTTTARGAGCCTTCCACATGCTCTGGTGCTGAAGAACAAGGAGAAAGATCCAGCCTGGAGCACACACAGGAGCCAGAACCCAGAGCTGCCAGGAAGATGACAAGGAAATTCTCCCTGGCAAAGCTCCAGGGGCCCAAGCTCATAGAGCAGCTGGGAGCAGGAAAAAAACTGTTCCCATGGGTGAGAAACCTTTAAAATTAATGAAGAAACAACTGAGTTTTTGGGGGTGGCCCAGTCCTGCTCATCAGCTGCTCCGCACTGGTGCACCAATGGATAAAATTAACGCAATTACATCAACGCTTTCCGCCAGGACCCCGACAATCCATAAGGCAGCAGCAGACAATAATTATCCTGTGACCACACTCCATTCCTGTGCCCTGGACACCCTGGGAGCTCTCTGGCATGTGTGCAGCTGCTTCAGGGCGTTAGTTACAGCCATTCTGAAATGCAGATATCCCCTTTTGCTCATTTTGTAGCTTTCCAGTTTCATTAAGCCACGTAGAACAGAATTGTKCGCTTGGACAAAGGTGAGTCCTTGAGCAAAGTATCCTTATTCTGCCATAYTGCAATTCCTAAATGGAAACACAGAACATGGAACCCTCATTGCTGAGTTATCAGAAGGATCATGAAAAGGTTTTCCCTTATTTTTGCTGATCTTTATGCAAGTGAGCACAGACACATCCCAAAGGCTGCACCAAATCAGTGTTCTGTGTGGACACCCAGCCCTCACCTGGCAYGGGATATTTCACAAACATTTGACACCTTCTGAGGCTCCAATTCCACTCCCCAATACAGAGATTATTGCTCTGATTTCCAGGAGAGTGACAGAGCTACCTCAGAGAAACAGGAAGGGCCAGGGTAGGGAAGAGGTTAATGCACAGAACTGCACAGAAATCAGGGTGTGCAGGGCCAGCTCCCTCAGAGCAGCCCCAGGGAATCAGCTCCTGCCCATCTGGGTCCATTTTGAAAAGGGAAAGATGCAACATCCACAAAARAACATGAAAAGGAAACATTGTGAAGGCACCTAATGAAAGCAGAGCATGGCAGGGCCTCAGAAAGGAAGGAGTTGGAGGTCCCTTCTTGCAGACACTTGTGCCTTAAGCCAGGCTTTTACCTCCAGGAATTTTTACCATTTCAAACACCACGTTTCACTTGCCCAGGGGGCAGGAATGATGTGCCCACACAAGCCTGTCCCAGCCTCACAGGCTGGGTGATCCCGGTGCTCTGTGAGCCCTAAGTGCCTCTTCAGCAGCTCCTCCTTTCCAGCTCATCAGGACCTCCCCAGGGAGCKCCTCCTCAGGCCTCAATTTCACAGAATCCCTCGGGCCATCCATGGGAGTTGAAACCACCATTCCTCAAAAGCCACTTTTGGTTTTGTTTCCTCTTCTTCATTCCACTGAATCACTTTCCAGACCAATTGCTTCCGCTCCTGCAGGAACAGCTCTTTCCTTCCAACTCCCTGGAATATGAACCCAGCACCTGCCACTATGGAAAAGCAGTGGAGTTTTCTGGACAGGGACCTTCCACCTCTCTGCCCACAGTGCTCCAGCTCACCCATTCCTGGGTGGAAAATGTGTGGAAAAGGTCGGGATCCCACCTCGCCCATTCTTAGGTGACAATAGCAGCTCCCTCGGGTCACGGTGCACCAGAGCACCGAACAGACAAACCAGGAGCTCCTGCATGATGGAGCATTCCCACAAAAAYTCCCTGCCSAAGGCGTTWTTCCCGTTATCCACAGCAAGRTAGGAAAGAGTGAAATCCACTGTGRGSAGGATGAATGAASCAGGAACCAGGGGACTGGGGTGATGAAGCAGCAAAGGAAAGGCTCAGGAGTTTGAAGCCTCCTCTTTCCTTCCCTCCCCAGCGAGGGGAGGACCCGCTCCCCCGACACCGGTGAGGGTGYGTGGCCTCGGGACACAGGGTGTGCACTGCATTTCTGGGACACCCCGCTAACGGGTGGATGCTCTAATCCCGGCGCACAGAGAGGCCGCGGCAGCTCACCGGGACACACCGGCACCGCACCGCAAAGCCGGCAGCTCCCGGGCCCGGCCGCGTGTGGCCCGCGGCTGTCACCGCCCGCCAGGCCCCGCTGCGGAGCCCCGGGGGCCAGAGGACTTTACCCGCGGGGCACGCCCGGGCAAGGACCGAGCGGAGTCCCCAGGAGCGCTCCCGGCCCTGCCGAGCACCTGCGGCCGCCCTGCACCGCGGCCCCGGGCCCTGCGGCACTCGCAGCCTCGCCAGGCCGCGGCCCGTCCACCGGGAGGGACAAGGGCCGCCCTCTCCCCGCCCGGGCCGCCGCTCTACCTGCGCGCCTCCTCGTCGCTGTCGGTGTCGCCGGGCCCGTCGGGCGCCGCCATGACCACATCGCACTCGGCCTCAGCYGCCGCTGCCGCCGCCGCCGCCGCCATCTTACCGCGCGGGGCTGGGCCGGACCGGGGCGGGGCGGGGCGGGACGGCCGCCGGAACGGGCGGGACCTCCGCCGGCGGGGAGGGGCCGGGCCCGACCGCCCGAGGGCGCCCGCGGACGGGCCCGGCGGCGGCATCGGGCGGGGCCAGGAAGGAGGCGGCACCGGGAAAGGAGGCGGCACCGGGAATGAGGCGGCACCGGCAAGGAGGTGGAACTCGACCGGAGGGGCGGGGCTTAACAAGGCCACGCCCCCTTCCGCCGCAGGGAGCGCCGGGTCCCGCGGTCCGCCCGCCCGCCTGGGGGCGCTGTGGTGCCGCAGCACCCTTCTCGCCGCCGCCGGTGAGTCTCGGCTGCCCCCGCCCCGGTGAGGCGGGATGGGCAAGAGCTGCAAGGTGGTGGTGTGCGGGCAGGCCTCGGTGGGGAAAACCTCCATCCTGGAGCAGCTGCTCTACGGGAACCATGTGGTCGGTAAGCGCGGGGTCGGGCGGAGGCTGCGTCTCTCCCGGGAGGTGGCGGCCGAGGGTKGAGCGGGCATGTCCGGCCCTGGGCAGTGCTGGGTTTGGGGATCCCCCTCAGCAGGGCTGTCCCCTCAGGTCACCCCCTCAGCACACCGGCGGGATTRTTCCAGGGTCAGACCCCCGCACAGGGTCCCCATCTGTGCCCTGCCCACCTCCTAAAGGTTCGGAGATGATCGAGACCCAGGAGGACATTTACGTGGGCTCCATCGAGACGGACCGGGGCGTGCGGGAGCAGGTGCGCTTCTACGACACGCGGGGGCTGCGGGACGGCCTGGAGCTGCCCAAACACTGCTTCTCCTGCACTGACGGCTACGTGCTGGTCTACAGCACCGACAGCAAGGAGTCCTTCAAGCGTGTGGAGCTGCTCAAGAAGGAGATCGACAAGTCCAAGGATAAGAAGGAGGTGAGTCTCACAGGTGAAGGGGCTGTGGAGTCGGATCTACTCCCCTGGGGCGGGTTCTCACCTTTCTTTTCTCCAGCCMGTCACAAGATTCGGGTGGGTCCTTCATCTGTGAGATTCCCAGCAGTAACASGTTCTTTTCTGGAATGTTCTCTGAGCTCAAAAGCTCCTTCCCCTTCGGGGCTGGTTTGTGTCACACAGACCCCAGCAGGAGGGGAAGAAAGCACTGAGATTGTGGGTTTTCAGAAGGCCTCGACATGGAATCAACAGCGTGGCCAAGCCCACCACATAGGGTTTCCACTTCAGAGCCAGCCAGCCCTGCAGCTCTGCAATTGGAACCTTCAGGGGCCCTTCTCACCCTTTTGGAACAGGTCACCATTGTGGTTTTGGGCAACAAGTGTGACCTGCAGGAGCAGCGGCGGGTGGACCATGATGCAGCCCAGCACTGGGCCAAGGGCGAGAAGGTGAAGCTGTGGGAGGTGTCTGTGGCTGACCGGCGCACGCTGATCGAGCCCTTCATCTACCTGGCCAGCAAGATGACACAGCCACAGAGCAAGTCTGCGTTTCCCCTGAGCCGCAAGAACAAGGGCAGCGGGTCCATGGATGGCTGAGCCTTCTTCCCCTTCCTTTCTATTGCCACCTCCTCTTCCTCACCTTCCTGCTTCCCTCGCACACACCTCCTGCTGAGTCCTGTCTGGTGTCACGGAGCCTGTGGGATGCAGGTGGCAGGAGGAACMATCATCCCAGGGCTGTGGATGGTCCTGGAGGGTGAGAGGCAGTGGGACAGGGACCACTCCTCTCCCTGCCCAGCCCTTGCAGCTGTCAGAGGTGTGGCAAGGTCAGAATTCCCTCAGTGACCCTCTATGCTCTCAGATGCAGGCTGGGAGAGGGGAGCAGAGGCACAGCACAGGCTGGCTGGAATGTGGGGATCAGCCCTGCATCTGGAGGGAACAGCTCCCTCTTTTTCTATTTCCTGATAAYGTGAGAAAAGCCTGTTTGCCTCCAGCCAAGCAGCTCTCCCTTCCCTGCCCTAGCTGGCTCTGTGTTGCTCCCTGGCAGGTTATCCCTTACCCTGGCAGTGTCTGCTGCTCCTTTATGCACTGAAATATCCAGGCATGCTGCCACAGGGAATGCCTAGAGCAGGGCAGGTGCTGTTCCTGAGGGCAGGGTGCCCAAATCTACCATTCCAGCCCTCCTCTTCCTGAGTGCAGACTCAGCCATGAGTTTGGAGGAGATGGGACCGTGCTTCACCTGCACACCTAGATCCTTGGAGGAGCTGGGACTGTACTTACCTGCAAACCTGGATCACTGGGGGAGCTGGGACTGTACTTACCCTGCACAGCCCAGGTGCTTCGGGCTGTGGCAGCTCTCACTGACCACTTGTCACAGTGCTGCCTTCTCTCAGAATGACCATAAGACAAGGCACAGATGTCCCAGTCCTACCCAGCAACACTCRTTCCCTTCAGGTAGTCTGGATGTAGGAAAAGAAGTGATGAAAAGCCCCRGTGTGTTTATACTTGTTCCTTTTATTTACTGAGTAACACAATAAAGCGATGAGATTTGATTATCAAAATATTTTCCTTTTTTTTTTTTTTCCCAACAGTTATAGTACATCAAAAAAAATATACAATGAACATTACAGGAGGGTACTGGCCAAGTCCCTAGAGTCTGGATATTCCATTTTGGGATTTTTTTTTTCTGTTTTGAATCAAACTTCACATCACTCCAAGGTTATTTACAGAGGGGCACACGTTACCGAGCGCTATGGACTATCCCTACTCCTAGTACAGCATGTGCTAAGTCAAAGGCAGTAAATGCTTTGGAGAGCAGGAGGGGATTCAGGGGGGATGCCATAACGGGGGGTTCTTACGCAGCTCRTTGCAGTATTATTGTCACTAGAAGGAATGGCTTTCACAGGGTTAAAGTGCCGAGTACAGGAGTGCGTCAGGACTCCACTGGTGAGGGGCACGGAGCAGCCACGGCTCCAGCACAGGCTTTTTGGAACAATGGAGGGGAACAGGCTCACTGGTGCCACACGGCTCTGCAGGCTGGAGCCCGGCTGCTCTTGGCTCCCCATGCTCCTGAGGGGCTGGGCACAGTGCCTGGGGCTCATGGCACAGGAGGGGACCCGCTGTCCTGCTGAAGTGGCCAGACTGGGGGTGACCCTGAGGGCCTGGGAAGGGCACAGTGACACGGGTAGGGGTGGCTGGAGATGCGCTGGCCACAGGCTGCTTGGCACTGGGGAATGGGAACAGCGTCCCTCCCGTCCCCTGGGCCCCACCAGCACAGGCTCCTGTCCCCTGGGATGTGGGGTCCCTACGTGTCCCCTGGGCTGTGGGACCATCTCCCTATCCCTGGCAAAGCCGTTTCTGCCGGGCTCCTTCCCTCACCTGCGCTCCGAGCCACATCTCCCACCACTGCTGCAAGACCTTTCCCTTGTCTCCATGCACAGCTGCTCACTCTTCTCCTGGTGTCCTCTCTCCACTCTCCTCCTTCCCTGGGGAAGGAATGCCCTGAGCAGATAAACCCATACCCAGGGGCTCCTTCACCTTCCTGTCTCTGTGGCAGGAGCATAGCGGTGGCTCCACGGTTGGTGCTGCCCACAGACCCTGCAGGTGTGTGCTCCCTCCTGCAGYTTTTTCCTGCTCTTGCCGAGGCTCYAGCCCTGGGAAGCAGATGTGTTTCAGCCACCTAAGTCACCCATGGGCTGGTTCCCATTCACCTCTCCATGCCAGGACCCATCCTGAGCATCGGCAGAGCACGCTGGGCAGAATCCTTCTGAAATCCAGGCGCTGCTTATGGCTGAGACGTCAGATATGTGTGCTTGTGCGTGTGGATTCCCAAGTGCACACACCAACCTGCCTCTTCCCGAGGGCTGGGAGGGAATGGGAGTCACAGCAGAGGTCTGAACCAGCACCCTGGGCTGGGGACGGGACAGAGCTCATTGTTACGTTGGTTCTTTGCTCCCACTGCTGCTCCGGCTGCGTGGATGCATCAGCACCAAAGGGAATCGCAGGCGGTGGGTGAGCTGCCCCCCTGGATTGCATAGATTGGGGTGGGGTGTTCCTCCAGCAAAAGGTCCGTTTGGGATGCGACTGTCTCTATGTACAGCAGCGTGCTGGGCACCCAGAGCGCCGCGGTGACAGTCCCAGACGGGTCAYGGCTGGGCTGTCTGAGCACAGTGAAACGCAGAGCTACAGCCTCGGGGTCCGTCCAGAGCCCRGCGTTCTGCAGGCTGTGGGTGCCACCTGCTCCTTCGTACCTGATTGTCCAGGCTGCTGGGGACACCTTTGTTTTCGGGAATCATCAGTAACTCCCTGGAAGCTCCTAACGGGGATGGGATTGGAGGGCCGGGCACGGCAGGTGAGCAGCAGCGTTGCCTTTCACTGGAGAACCGAAAGTGCTTTAGGGACATTCACTCAGCCTCACAGCATCTCCCGGGAGGTAGGGGCAGGGCTGTCCCCGCGGCGGGACAGAGACAAGGACAGGCGCCAAGCACAGGGTCACCTCCTCGGGGAGCCAGCACCAGRCAGCCTGGTGCTCCTGGCCTTGCTGGGCATGAGTAGGGCCCGGCTCGGCCACATGCCCATCGTGTGCTTCTGGGGCCAGGGCAGGGCCCGTGTGCTTTGGAGGGAGGAGGTGCCGGCCCTGGGGTCAGCTATTGCTCTCGGAGTGAGGATACGGTCGGTGTGGCCGGTGCCCGCCACCGCGGGGGCTCTTTGGCTGGTGGGACGTAGGGAGTTGTGGGGACGGGGGGCTGGTGGGTGGCACGGAAACCTCCTGCACAGGCAGGTGCAGGGCTGGCAAAGGGCACAGCCAGCCCAGGCTGAGAGAGGAACTGCCAGCTTCCCGCTTGTGCTGGGGCTGAGATTCCCCTCGCAGTTCCCTTCCCGCTGGGCTGGCAGGGACCAGAGGGATGCTCCTTCTCCCAGGGACCAGCCAGCTCCTCTCCTTCCAGTCTGGTAACTGGGAGGGYGATGAAGAAGCAGCCAGCAGGCCAAGGACAGGCAGGCCCTGGCCACGAGATGGTCCTGCTGATTCAGACACTGTCCTCTGTGTCCTGCCTAGGCTCATCTGCCGAGCACGGGGACAGCACAGGCCAGGGGAGCGGTGGGGATGCGCGGCGGGGCTGGCCTGGCTCTGGCAGGGCACCTCTCTCCAGCGGGAGCCCGCTCCAAAGCGAAGGAGAAGCTGGGGTTGATGTCTACSACTACATTTTCCCACCAGCCAGGAGAGCAGGTACCAGGAGCGCTGCCCCCAGCGCGCAGCCCCCACAGCACAGCCCGGCCGCGGTGGACAGACCCTCGGCGGGCCAGCGGCTCTAGTAGGGTGCGAAGACAATGGGACCCGGCGTGGGGCGGACGTGGGCCGGCGGCGTTCGGAAAAGGGCTGGTCCGAGGATCGGGGCTTGGAAGAGGGTGGTGGCAGCTGCTGGTCGCAAGGCAAGGGGTCCAGGCATGGCGCAGACAGCGGCGGCGGTAAGCGGGCTCGGCAGGAAACGGGTTGCCAGGGTTTTGGTGAGGTGCTTCTGCAAAGCCAGCTTGGACTGCGGGGAGGGAGGAGGAGACACGGTGAGATCGCAGAACAGCTGGAGGAATCACAAGTGCTGCTGCTGTGAATGCTGCTSCCAAAGTATTCCCCAGTTATCCCCATGCTGGCCTTCCCAGGAATAAAAACTCAAAACTCACCACCACCACAGCTCACCCTCCCTGAAGGGAGAAGCTGAGCTGGGTGGTGGAAACCAAGGTTGAAGAGAAGCAGCTCCTGTGACTCACTACAAGGATGGCTGATGGCGAGTGAGGCTTTGTGAGCAAAGGGGTGGGTGCCTTGCAGGGAGACAGGTACCTTGAGAATACTCACGGCAAGGGCAGCATTCTTCTGCAGCTTGTTGTAGGGGCTGTACTTGGGCTTGGGTGGCTTCCCYGCCAGCCTGTCTTTGTGCCGCCGGCTGCTCATGTGCTAGGGAGGGAAAAACAGCTGGATCACTGGGAGCCAGGACACCCATCACATCCATCACCCTGCAGGGATCAGTGGTACCCACACCCTGCACACCCAGCGCCCAGGCACTCCCAGGGCATCATCACCTGCTTGAGCTGCGTCTCGGAGTTCACGTAGATCTCGCACACTTGGCAGTGAAACGCYTTGTTCTGGATGTTGATGCTGCCCTTGTTCCCGATCCGCTTGGACTTGTGCCCTGYCCGGGAGAGCAGCTTGCCCCGGCCTCGCCGCAGTTGGGTGCCGTGACCTTCCAGCATCGACTTGTGCTTGGCGCCTGGTGAGAGGGGATCCTCAGCACACCCAGCCCAGCCCTGTGCYTGTACCAGTGCCCTCCAACAGCACCGGGGGAACCCCCCCAACCTGTGCCCAACAGCACTCACAGGCAGAGGGCACAGGGAGCTGCCTGGGAGCCCGGGCTTTCACCAGCACTGCGCAGCCCATTCCCAAACCCTGCCAAACTGCACGTCGCAGGCAGAGCAGAGATGCTCAGCTTCCCAGAGGCCCCCCCTCCATGTGCCAGCTTCGGAGAAGCTGCTATTTTGAGTGTGCGCTGGAGCCTGTCGCCTGTCCCCGGGCGTTAGCACAGTCTGCGGAGCCGGGCGCGCGTCGCCCGCCGTGCTGCAGCATCTGAGCCGTGCCCAAGGTCACAGCTCAGCCAGGAATAGCTCAGCGGGGTCACAGCAGGTGGGCAAGGAGGAACCCAAGATCCCTACACACCTGGGGACAGGGCGCTCCGTCCTACCCCTGCCAGCGCCGGGATGGCGAGGGTGCCTGGGGTGCGAGTAATTCAAGCCCCTGCTAATTCGTTCTATTTTTTAAGGCGTGAAGCAAGGAGCTGTGTGATGGCCACGGAGCAGCGCTAGCCTGCAAATGTTTGTTTGTTTGTTTGTTCTTTTTCCCCAAATCAGCTCCTGAATTCGTAACCAGAGCTGACAAAAGCAAAAGGACACGTCTGCAGCTAAGCCGCAGCAGCGTCCTGAGCCAACCCTGYGCACGGCAGCTGCTGCTGCCCCGGAAGGCAGTGGGGTGGGGGAACTGGTGCCCCAGTACTTGCCAAACTGGGGGAGAAAAGGACATTCCATTTAAAGCTGGGGTGCCCAGTTTAAGCATCCTTCAGAGAAAGGGATGAGCCAGGAGCTGGGACTGCAGAACCCACAGACCTCACTGGGATCTCTGTCCCATCACTGCCATCCTCCACCACCACCCTGGGGTGCGTCTGGCCACCCCCAGGCTTCATGGGGACCCTCAGTAGCTCCCACACCTGCCTACCCGAAGGGAATACCCTGCACAGTCCAGGAGCCACCCTGGCTACAGCRTTCAGCAGCTCGTTGGATTCCCAAGGCTCTTCTCCACAGGGCCAGGAGCCCAAACCACCAAGATGTTTTGGGAAGGATTATCCCCGTTTTTGGAAGAAGCCCTGGCTATCAGCTTCAAGCCAAATGGAATATAAAGTAGCCTCAATCACTTGATTAGCTGGAAATATTCTTAATTGAGACATGAACAATGAGGGTGCTTGACCTTGTGCAMATTCACCCTAGAGGCTGCAGCCCAGGTAAAGCCCCATGGCTTGTCTGTG